AGATGTTGGCGAGATATTGGCAAGGTGCTAGAGTGATGTTGGCGAGATGTCAGCGTGGTGCCAGAGTGATGTTGGCGAGATGTCGGAGATGTGCCAGAGTGATGTTGGCGGGATGTTGGCGAGATGTTGGCGAGACGTCGGCGAAGTGCTAGCGTGATGTTGCCGAGATGTCGGCGAGGTGCCAGAGTGATGTTGGCGAGATTTTGGCGAGACGTCGGCGAGGTGCTAGAGTGATGTTGGCGAGATGTTGGCGAGACGTCGGCGAGGTGCTAGAGTGATGTTGGCGAGATGTTGGCAAGATGTCGGCGAGGTGCTAGAGTGATGTTGGCGAGATGTTGGCAAGATGTCGGCGAGGTGCTAGAGGGATGTTGGCGAGGTGTTGGCGAGATGTCGGCGAGGTGCTAGAGTGATGTTGGCGAGATGTCAGCGAGGTGCCAGAGTGATTTTGGCGAGATGTCGGAGAGGTGCTAGAGTGATGTTGGCGAGATGTTGGCGAGATATTGGCAAGGTGCTAGAGTGATGTTGGCGAGATGTCAGCGTGGTGCCAGAGTGATGTTGGCGAGATGTCGGAGAGGTGCCAGAGTGATGTTGGCGGGATGTTGGCGAGATGTCGGCGAGGTGCCAGAGTGATGTTGGCGTGATGTTGGCAAGATGTTGGCGAGATGTTAGCGAGATGTCGACGATGAACGACAATTGAGCAATATACAAACGACCAGTGACCAAACTTTGCTTCCATTCCAAAAAATTCACAAGCAAGATTGTTGTTTTAACAACGGATGAGATTTCTTTTGCATATGACTGAAGAACGGCTCACTCTATAAACAATGAGTTTAAACCTCCGCAGTTGCAACAACACTCAAAGGAAGAAACCAAACTGCTCATATTGTGTTTATTATTTTTGAGCGCACTTGAAAGGCCAATGCAAATCCCCCCCCCCCAACCACCCATTAGGAAATTCCAGCAACCCCGTTGACTTTGTCAGCGTCTTGCCTTGGTAAATTCCTATGCCACCAGGGGTGGTGCCCCACCTACACACACAACCACACTTTAAAACCCACTGATTTGAAGCATACATGCAGTTTTACAATGAACCATTTCACTAGAGTTTTATCTTTTCCTCTCTGCTTACATATCTTCCAGGTCATTCGTCTTCTCTTTCCTTATGCATTCGTCCTCAGCCACTCTTGGCTGCTCTTTCAACTAAAACACCGCTGTCCTGTTTGCTCAGTTTATTTGTGGAGATCTCTTTGCCAAATGTTGCGCGGCCTGCCTCTATATTCCTGTGGCCCTGGGGATCCCATAGGAGAGAGTACCGTGCAATGCATTATCTTGGCATCTTTCATGTGTGGCAAATCCACAGCCCAGAGTAGAGGCGAGAAAGACAAAAATCAAGAGTTTAGAAATCATGAAATGACGTCAAACCTCCTTGCTTTGCCGCAGCGTTATAAACCAACCAGGCTAATGGTGATACAAAGATGGCCGTCTCATATATTTCTAGATAAACTATTCAGAAACGAAAGGGAAAAAAAACTCGACTGTTATTTCGATACTGGAAGAGGAGACAACTTATACGGATGCAATTTTAAAACATGCAGGAGTAGACAAACCCAGTGTCGTCGGTGTTGCTGGAGCAACGACACATGCGTTGATTTTAAAAAATGATTACAATGTGAAATCATATCTTATAGTAGTAAAACGGTTCCGACTCCGGGGCGACTCGAGCTTAGATCCCATGCTGGGTAAAACAGGGACCCGAAGACGCGGTGACTGGACAGACCTGGGCTGGAACAAAGGGTGTCTTGGTTTAATTGGGATCGTGGGGTAGAAATACGGTGTCTTTAAAGATCTAGAGGAGGAGGTGTGTCTTGGCTACATTACCAAACGCAGTATTGCAAGAGAGCACGCAACTGTGCGCATAAAGTGTTTTCAATAGACTTGATGACAAGTAAGGCGTGATACTCGGGAGCTTGGCAAAAACCACAGCGTAAATAGAATGTCCGTTTGTTGACGTTTCTGCACTGTCAACAAGCGCCCGCGAAACCAGCCACTCTACAACTTTGACATGAATACAACCACGAACTTTGTGCCGCTGACAACATTTTTACTGAATGTCAATGTCAAAACTGCACAGACTACTACACGCACTTGTAAGGGAGATGTTCGGTTCTTTGGTCATCATAGATCATTACACAGACTACTACACACACTTGTAAGGGAGATGTTCGGTTCTTTGGTCATCATAGATCGTTACACAGAATACAACACACACATGTAAGGGAGATGTTCAGTCTTTGGTCATCATAGATCATGACACAGACTACAACAAACTTTTTAGGGAGATGCTCAGTCTTAAGTCCTCATAGATCATGACACAGACTACAACAAACTTTTTAGGGAGATGCTCAGTCTTAAGTCCTCATAGATCATGACACAGACTACAACAAACTTTTTAGGGAGATGCTCAGTCTTAAGTCCTCATAGATCATGACACAGACTACAACAAACTTTTTAGGGAGATGTTCAGTCTTAAGTCCTCATAGATCATGACACAGACTACAACAAACTTTTTAGGGAGATGCTCAGTCTTAAGTCCTCATAGATCATGACACAGACTACAACAAACTTTTAAGGGAGATGCTCAGTCTTAAGTCCTCATAGATCATGACACAGACTACAACAAACTTTTTAGGGAGATGCTCAGTCTTAAGTCCTCATAGATCATGACACAGACTACAACAAACTTTTTAGGTAGATGTTTAGTCTTAAGTCCTCATAGATCATTACACAGAATACAACAAACTTTTTAGGTAGATATTTAGTCTTAAGTCCTCATAGATCATTACACAGAATACAACAAACTTTTTAGGTAGATGTTTAGTCTTAAGTCCTCATAGATCATTACACAGAATACAACAAACTTTTTAGGTAGATGTTTAGTCTTAAGTCATCATAGATCATGACACAGATACGTTTTCTTTATTTCATTTTTAAAACAGCTTTTTTTCCGCTACGTCCGGTGTTTCATTCTGTGGGTGGTTGACCCATGTTGCCCCTTTGTCCGTGGGCTTCTTAATGCCTTAGATGGCAACTCTTTGAGCTGATGTAGGATCAAATGTCTGACCCAACAAACGGGAAGTAGAACTATGGGACGGATGTAAGATGAAATGTCTGACCCAACAAACGGGAAGTAGAACTATGGGACGGATGTAAGATGAAATTTCTGACTCAACAAACGGGAAGTAGAACTATGGGACGGTTGTGGATCAAATGTCTTACCCAACAAACGGGAAGTAGAACTATGGGACGGATGTAAGATGACATTTCTGACTCAACAAACGGGAAGTAGAACTATGGGACGGATGTGGATCAAATGTTTTACCCAACAAACGGGAAGTAGAACTATGGGACGGATGTAAGATGACATTTCTGACTCAACAAACGGGAAGTAGAACTATGGGACGGATGTGGATCACATGTCTGACCCAACAAACGGGAAGTAGAACTATGGGACGGATGTGGATCAAATGTCTGACTCAACAAACGGAAAGTAGAACTATGGGACGGATGTGGATCAAATGTCTGACCCAACAAACGGGAAGTAGAACTATGGGACGGATGTAAGATCAAATGTCTGACCCAACAAACGGGAAGTAGAACTATGGGACGGATGTGGATCAAATGTCTTACCCAACAAACGGGAAGTCGAACTATGGGACATATGTGGATCAAATGTCTGACCCAACGAACGGGAAGTAGAACTGTGGGACGGATGTAAGATCAAATGTCTGACCCAACAAACGGGAAGTAGAACTATGGGACGGATGTAAGATGACATTTCTGACTCAACAAACGGGAAGTAGAACTATGGGACGGATGTGGATCAAATGTCTTACCCAACAAACGGGAAGTAGAGCTATGGGACGGATGTAAGATGAAATTTCTGACTCAACAAACGGGAAGTAGAACTATGGGACGGATGTGGATCAAATGTCTGACCCAACGAACGGGAAGTAGAACTATGGGACGGATGTGGATCAAATTTCTGACCCAACAAACGGGAAGTAGAACTATGGGACGGATGTGGATCAAATGTCTGACCCAACGAACGGGAAGCAGAACTATGGGACGGATGTGGATCAAATGTCTGACCCAACGAACGGGAAGTAGAACTATGGGACGGATGTGGATCAAATGTCTGACCCAACGAACTGTGCATTTATCGGTTACCAAATATTATCGGGTTCTGTTTGGCGTCTGATGCTACATGGTGATGGAAACGCGCCCTTCTGTGAAGCTGAATGGCGTCTGATGTTGGATGGTGTCTGATACTGAATGGTGTGTGATTCTGAATGGTAACGATTCTGGATGGATGATGTTAGTTCTCTGAAGCTGGCTTGTATCTAATTCTGGCTGCTCTTTAAACCCTTCACAGTCAGATGATTTGCCCCGGCCTAGTGCCGGCCGCGCCCCTTTCACAATACAGTAATACATTAATGATCTGCTCCCTGCTCAAAAACAATCCTCATTAAACTGTGATTAATATTCAGGAGACATTTGTTCCAATCCCTTCCCAATCCTGCCCAAGCAAGGTGCCAGATTTCATGAGACAAGCTAAGGGGAATAACCAGAGAAATAACTTCAGATTTTAAAATATTTTCGTTTTGTCTCCCTTGTTGAACCGCAAAAATTGAACTTACTGAAATTGAACCCATTAACACTGAACTTGTTGAAAGTGAATTCATTGATAGTGAACTTACTGATAGTGAACTTATTGAAATTCAACTTATTAATGCTGAACTAATTGAAAAGAAAATTATTGAAAGTGAACTAATTGAAAGGAAACTTATTGAAAGTGAACCGATTGAAAGTGAAATGATTGAACGTGAAATTGGGGAAAGTAAACTTAGGGTAAGTGATCTTTTTTAATGTGAACTTATTTAAAGTGAACTTACTTTTAAGACTCGTAGAAATACATTGTTCATGTTTATTAGGCGAAGTATGTCATTAGAAAGTGTTGTATAGACTCGTTGCTCAGCTCCTCAGCTCCCCCCTTTCCTTAGTTCGAAACACACATCTCCAATGTTAGTGGATCATTTTTTTAAACACATTTTTTTTAAAATGTTTCATCAAAGGTATGAAATAACGTCATTTAGAAATACGTTTAAAAAAAGAATAACTTTCAAACATCGATTTGTTTATATTTACGTTTGTATTACTTTAAAAAAAAAAAACTATTTACAATTTGGCACTGTGGGCGAGTTCTGTCAGCAAAGCCAATTTTTCCTTAAAAATCTGGCCATTTATTGACGGGTCATTTATGTATCTCAGAAAAACACACCAAAAAAACCGGTTCTGGTTATCTATAAATATAAACTTAATAAACATAAATGAGACCAAGTGATAAGGATTTATTGGCTGTAACTTGTTACAATGGCTCGCACAGTCTTCGCACAGACAACATTCAACAATTGAGTGAAGAGGATTTGACCTACAATCAACAACCCCGTGACTGAAATTGTCATACGTCTGTCCCTTTAAACTCTGCATTACAAAATATAGTAGGTAAAAAAACAACAACAACTTTTGAGCGAATTTTAATGTCAATTTGCTTTGAATGTGCAAAATGATGGGGGAGGGGGTGGGGTTAGGGTGGGTATACAAGAAGGAAATGGTGAGAAATGTCATTTAAAAACACACAAAACATTGAAAAAGGGGGGGGGGGCAAACTTGTTGTATCATAGACCAACAAAGAAACCTCATTGAAAAGTTTCCATTGTACTAATGTTTGTATGATTAGGTCTAGTTACCGGAAGTAACCACTGGTTGGAAGTCGACTTAGATTTGTCCCCAGAGTCCCACAAGTCTCGAGCACTAACTACATCACACACACACACACAGACACATATATTTATATCTACCCACACACACGGTGAATAAAGAAAATGTCGGACGTCATACGGACGACGGTCCACGCCCCTGAGTATTGCACGGTACGGCCTCAGTGACCCTTAACCTCTGCCATGTAGAGCTAGCAGTTATTGACATCTGATGGGAGCACCTCCCAACAATTCAGTATTGTAGTCAATTTCTCCTTTTGATTGCCTCCCAACACACCGGACTGGTTGACTTTTAGAACGGTCAACAAATGGTTCGCCCACATCGCATCGGCTCAGCAGTGTCACTTGCATGAATTAAGTAGCATATATCAAGAATACATGTAATAAGGAGTTTTAAATAAACATTAAACTGAACTGTACACCAATTTATTACATCAAATTTAAACGGTTTTTTTTTTTATTATTTTTTTTATATTTTTTATTCAGAATTCTCTTTTACTCTTAAGTCTCACTCATTTGTTCAAATTAATAGTTGATGGGTATTTCCTTCATGTGCTGCTCCAGCAGATACGCAGTCAATAAAAGGGTGCATGGGAGTTCATTTAAAAAAATATACTTAGCTGGATGAAAGAATAGTAACAGAGTTACAGTGAGGTTGAGGGTAGGGTTGGGAGTGAGTTCCCCTTACATTCAAGGGTTAACTTGAACAAATCACAGCGCAGCATTTGGTGAGCTTGCAAGGCCTTTTCTGGAAGGTTCCAAAATGTCTTGCAGTATAAAAAAAAAAAAAAAATATTCTTTTAAAAAATATGTTAACCATTTTCTGTTAAACGTTGATTAGTCCTATAAAATGTTAGATCAGTCTGGAGTCATTGAACGAAACGAGACATTTACGAAGATGTGAATAGATGATCAGACGATCAGACACAACTGGAAAGTTTGTTATGGTCAGCTTAGGTGTAGGACCGTTCGGGTGTGTTTTGAAGTAAACTACACGCTTTGGCACGCGCGGCACACACACAGCAGGCACATCGGTTACAACAACATAACTGAACAGCGGTGGAACACAGTGTAGAGGATTTATTCAATCAGCCACTGGTTAGAACTGGTTTGGTATTTGAACAAAATAAATGCAAATTGAGCAAAGTAAACATATCAACACAACAAGCAACCCGGAAGTCGCCCGTCGGCCATACTTGTTTACCCTCGTTTGAAAGACTCGTGAGACGTCATCAAGAAATTGGTTAAAATTTAAAAAAAAAAAACAAATCTTCCTACAGTTTAAAACAAAAACATTAATAATAAATGACACAAACCAGTAACAAAAAAAAATATAATGTTTTCATTCTGAAGTGACGAAATAAAAACATGCTAATATTGAAACCTTTTTGTTGTTGGAGTCCTTCCTAACAAACTCTTAATCATATTCTAACGTCAAAACCACAAACAAGATTCCTGATCTCAGGTCTCCCTCGAGGAACTAACGATGAATCAATCAGGAAGTCGGTCAAGGAAAGCACTCCCAGCTGGTCGTGTCCCGCTTAATGCTCGAACGTTCCGGTGTACATGGACCGGGCGATCCTGGCGCTCTCGGACATTGGACTGTTGGCGGTCAGGCGGGAGCACTCGGTCGGGACGTCGAAGTCGTTGGGGTTGACGATGCCCTGGACGGCGTCGAAGAAGTGGGAGATGGAGGTACGGTTGAAGTTGACGGTGTCCACCAGGAACTGGCTCACGGGGTAGCAGTTTCTCAGGGAGAACTCTCCGATCCAATTTTCACCTGCAAGAATAAAGATTAGACGTCAGGGTGGGAAATTGTTCTAGTTCCTGACCCGTGCGACGTGTGGAGAAGGGGTGGGAAATTGTTCTAGTTCCAGGCCTGTGCGACGTGTGGAGAATGGGTGGGAAATTGTTCTAGTTCCAGTCCCGTGCGTCGTGTGGCTTTAGGGATGGGAAATTGTTCTAGTTCCAGGCCCGTGGGAAGTATGGAGAAGGGGTGGGAAATTGTTCTAGTTCCAGGCCCGTGCGAAGTATGGAGAAGGGGTGGGAAATTGTTCTAGTTCCAGGCCCGTGGGAAGTATGTAGAAGGGGTTGGAAATTGTTCTAGTTCCAGGCACGTGTGAAGTATGGAGAAGGGGTGGGAAATTGTTCTAGTTCCAGGCCCGTGGGAAGTATGGAGAAGGGGTTGGAAATTGTTCTACTTCCAGGCCCGTGTGAAGTATGGAGAAGGGGAAAGGGGATGCCATGCAATGCACCAACATGGGAAAAGGTGGGAGGGGAACATCATCAATTATCCGTATATATTCTGTGACCATGCGTGGCACTTGAAATCATTATTGCTGAGACGATTCGTTGTTAACCACATTCGGGGTGTCCTCCGGTTGCTGAGACACATCAACAGCATGTGTTTCTTTGATAACCTCAAAGCAATGTGTTCAAAGCTTTGTGATTGAAATGGAATTTAAAAAAAAAATGAGTTTAATTTTAATTCGCGCCAATTCTATCATTGACGTGACACCGGCTCTGCACAGCTCAACTGATCCAGGATAACGACTTAAAACCATCACATTTTGTCATTACAGTTTTTTCACTAACTGCTTCCTTTGCCATAACTCCCCTCCACACTCCATCATTTACCATGGTTCATTCCTTCTCCAGACTCCGCCCCGCCCCAAAACGCCGTCCCTCCCCTACTCTCCATGCCCCACAGCCCATCCCTCCCACACACTCCGTCCCTCCCCCACGCGACATCCCTCTTCCACACTCGATTGCCCAAGCACAAATCCCTGCACTTCGTTTGCGGTAGTTACATAAATTCCTCAAGAGTAAATGAAAAAAAAAATAATAATAAAAAAGCACACACATTCCGATAATGTGAAATGTTAAACCAATGTAATGTTGTCTCTGAGCATCTAGAGGATCCACGACCTTCACAAAGACAATACCAGCAAAAACCCACACACACAAAAAGGCGCCTTTCGAAGGAAGGTAGTCGGCATTAGAAGCGTCGGTGTGTTGGGTGACTTATGTGGGGGACGCCTCGCCGAAATTGCCCGTGGGCTGATCCCCACTCTCAGGCCGCTTGAGCACACTTTGAAATCAATGGCCATTACAACAACGGCGGCGAGTGGCGAGTGCTCGCCAGGACACTGGCTAAACGCTCGGGACCACGCCAGTTGAAACCTTTGACGAGGGAGGCGATGTCGCCCCGTTGGCAAACAACAAAGCCAAACCGTGGACGCTTTTTTTGGCATCAATTCTCGGCAAGTTGTCAGTGGGGAGAGAACCTGGGGGGTGTTGGGGAGGGGGGTTCTTTGTCGAATCGGAAGCACATGAGTGAAAAGGGAATGGGGGTGGGAGGCTAGCGTGAACCAGGGAGAGAGAGATACAATGAAGGGAAACAAAAGTAAAGATATCAAGCGTAGACTATTTTTTAAATATAGTCTAGATTCTAGACTACACGTTCAGGCTGGCGAATTGCAGCACTCGAAATGGTGTCCATGAACTTCCGGTTAATAACTTTCTTGTGTATTCTGACCTTTCTTCTCAATGTGCCATCCACCCAACAACCCCTACAGCAACACCGTTTCACCTTCATCCTCCCCTCAAGCGTACAGCTCGTTTGCCGCCACCCAGTAACCACAGATAACCGCCAGCAATCCTAGCGTATCTCCAGGCGCCCTCATTACCCTACAAACGGCCTGCACCCCCACCCCCCTCTCAAAATAATACATTTCAAAAGCAATGAATGCAGTCTCTGTCTTTCAGTCAAGATTCACCAGCTGGGTCGAAGGAAGGACGACGGTCCACCCGAGTAGCGCCCCCCCCCCTTTTTCTTCTTCTTTATATTGAGGGGCGGCATTGAGACCGACTGCAGATTTTCTTTTTTCCAAGTAGGGGGCGGAAAAATCTTGGCCCGCCCCGGGCGGCACTAACCAGACTAACCCAAATTATGCCACCCATAATGTTTACTAACTCTCCAGGAAAAAGGATGATTCGGCGGTTGATAGGGGTTGATAGGGGTTGATAGTGGTTGATAGGGATTGATAGGGGTTGGGTTAGGGGTTGTCAAGTCAGTGTGTTTAAGTTGTGGCTATTGGTAGTTTAGTGTGTTCACTATATCTCCACTATATCTTCACTATATCTTCACTATATCTCCACTATATCACCACTATATCTTCACTATATATCCATTATATCTTCACTATATCCCCAATATCTTCACTATATCCCCAATATCTCCACTATATCCTCACTATATCTCAATTATATCTCCACTATATCTTCACTATATCCCCTATATCTCCACTATATCTTCAATATATCCCAAATATCTCCACTATATCCTCACTATATATCCTCTATAATTCCACTATATCCTCACTATATCCCCAATATCTCCACTATATCTTCACTATATCCCCAATATCTCTAGTATATCCTCACTATATATCCACTATATCCTCACTATATCCCCAATATCTCCACTATTTCTCCGCTATATAAAAAATATTCGCGTGGTAAAGATGATAACTTACGTCTGGTGGGGAGTCGGTCGGACCACACATCAACAGTGAGGTCCTCGCCTGGTCCGCCGACCTGGAAGGATCCCTCGTAGGTGGAGTTGTAGGGGACCTCGAAGGGGCGGAACGGGCCGGTACTGAATCTGGTGCAGTTCTTCAGCTTGAAGTCGTACTCGAAGCCGGTGTCAATGTAGTGGAGGAACAGGAACTCACGGATTCTGTGGGGTCAAGGGTCAGAAAAGTGTTGAGAATCACTTGGCATTTAATTTGTATTGTGTAGGAGAGTGGCGAAGATGCGATCAAGTGTCAGTGCTATAGGCTAATAGAGTGGTATTGACATTAGAATCAGGACATTGATGATGTCAGTACTATATAGTGGCGTGGACATTAGAGTCGGGAAATTGATGTCAGTGCTATAGAGTGATGTGGAAATTAGAATCATGACATTGATGTCAGTGCTATAGAGTGATGTTGACGTTAGAATCAGGACATTGATGTCAGTGCTATAGAGTGGTATGGACATTAGAATCAGGACATTGATGTCAGTGCTATAGAGTGGTATGGACATTAGAATCAGGACATTGATGTCAGTGCTATAGAGTGGTATGGACATTAGACACAGGATATAGAAGTTTCTTGAAAAGCAAGGATGAAAATGATGTATCGATCAATACAGTTGTCGTCTTTTGATAACTGAATATTAAGTACAATGTCCATCGTTGAATACCGTAATGTCATTGTTTGAATAAAATCTTGCAGGATTATTGTCTGACCATACTATGTTGTATGTCCCTGTTTATTTATTGTTGTATGTTTGTAATTGACAGCCAAAAAACTGACCATTTATTGAAGTATTTTTAAGGTGGTAGATCAGCAATCGATCGTTCATTTATTAGTGTATGTGTAAGTGGAAGTGGTATGGCTGTATGTTTGTAAGTGGTAGTCCAACAACTAACCATCTATTGCTGTTTGCCCAAGTAAGTGACAATGCAACAGTTGGTCATCGAATGTTGGACGCCCGTGTTTGTCTAGTATTCCATGTAAGTAATTGGCAGTACAACAAGAATTTATCTAGAGTACCAAGACTACAAATGGTTATCTCCTGTTGTGCAGGGTAGTCAAATGTGTATCTGTATCTATTGTCGTATGTCCGTGTTTAACTATCGCTGTGCGACCGTAAGCGGCGGTCCAGCTGTTGGTCACCCAGTACAGTACGTCACCAAGTATTTGGTCTGATTTTGTGCGGACAGAGACAAGCGTGGACTCACTCCCTGGTGCCTCCGGTGAAAGACTCCTCAAACATGACGACTCTCTGGTTAGGCCTGTCATACTCTGTGTAGTACCTCCTGTAATAGGTGTCTGCCTGGTCGTGGCGGGATGCCCTGAACTGTGGACACACGGACAAGTACACTAGTGGTCAAACATATAGTTCAATGGGTGGGTGGATCATAAGGATAAACTCAAGAAACATCTCAAACAATTTCATATGTATATATATATATATATATATATATATATATATATATGTGTGTGTGAACGCTATGTGAACAAGATCCTCCAAATATTGAATGTTTCCATCTCCAACAACACTTAACCCTTTGTTGTAACGCACCAAAGTCCGCAGGGAATAATTTCACTTCAGTGAGGAAGCGCACTGGCCTATGTCCATAGGTCAGACCTTAGACTCTTCCCTAGCATGGTCCAATGTCTACATACCACGTGATAACTTGACCATCGTTATTGGACACAACGTACGCAACCGTTCAGCGCGACACCAACTGGCCAAGAGCTTGAGATGTAGATGACCACAGCTGAAAGTGCATGTGTAAACACACCAGCCAACACTGTAAACACCCTTCAAGGTCAGAAGCTTTGGACAAATTCTCCCATCGACTAATCGCTTTTGTAGATTTGCCTTTTTCTGTGCGCAAGGAGGCTAATTCTCACAACCTTGTTTCAAAAATATAAATCTACCTAGATATTTATCTATATAGCTTAGATTGGTAGATTTATATTCAACTGACCTACGATATTTATGTACGTACCTTAGATATGTCAGTTAAATAGTCGTCTATAATTGTTTTAAAAACAATAACTTAAAGTGTAATCACCGGGTGATATGTAGTAATGAAGAACCATAGATACGCTATCAAGACTATGTTTATGTGGCGATATCAAAAATGAAATTTGAACGGTAAACGGATTTGGGGCCACATCCCTCCACCGCTTCTTTGCAGTGAAACCTTCAGATACAAGAAATATTCAATCATTTCTAGAGCTGGAGGGATCTGCATGCATTTTAGCAGCGACGTTTCTCGTTCAATCTTCGAAATCTGTCAACCACAATCAACAAACCTTCAAACCCATATCAACAAACCTTCAAACCCAAATCAACAAGACATTTTAAAAACAACTTCTCCTGGTCCTTAACTGCTATCTGTTCAAAATGTTTGAGAAATGCTTGGATGATTTAAAATTGACATATGCTTTTCATCCTTTTTGAGGGACACGGATAAAAAGTACCCAGGAAGGGGCGTGGAGGGTGGGGTTGGAGGGGAGGGGAGGCGCCCACAGAGGGCGTGTAGGGTCTAAAAGTAAATGAACTTTGAGAATACCTGCACGTTTTCATATGGTTGCCAATTAAACGAAATGTTACGAGATGACGAATGAACGATGACAAAGACGAATGGTTTAAACCAAAACAAGTTCTTAGAGGTCTTACAGTCCGTAGGTGGCCCGCCACATCTCCCTTTGAGAGATTACCATGAGATAACTGTCACCAAACAGGTTGTAAGGTGATACGGACAAGGGTGAACGCCAGGTCCGATAACTCATCCGTTAGGCTAACCGTTAAGTTAACGAAGGAAGGGCAAGGGGAGATAACGACCCCTGGATTGAACTCTTAATTGTGTTGTCTTCACTGAAGGTTTCCTTGATATGGGCAATAGCAAGGCTGCCCTGACAGTGACGTCATAATCTGAAGACCTGTGGGCATTTCTGATGTAGGGGGGCGGGAGCTGAGGCGGCGGGCATAACCCTGACGGCTGGGGGTGTTTGTGTTGGGGTGAGGTGGTAGTGCATAACCCTGACGGCTGGGGGCATGACGGCTGGGGGTGTTTGTGTTGGGGTGAGGTGGTAGTGCATAACCATGACGGCTGGGGGTGTTTGTGTTGGGGTGAGGTGGTAGTGCACAACCATGACGGCTGGGGGTGTTTGTGTGGGGGTGAGGTGGTAGTGCACAACCATGACGGCTGGGGGTGTTTGTGTTGGGGTGAGGTGGTAGTGCATAACCATGACGGCTGGGGGTGTTTGTGTTGGGGTGAGGTGGTAGTGCATAACCATGACGGCTGGGGGTGTTTGTGTTGGGGTGAGGTGGTAGTGCATAACTATGACGGTGGGGGGTGTTTGTGTTGGGGTGAGGTGGTAGTGCATAACCATGACGGCTGGGGGTGTTTGTGTTGGGGTGAGGTGGTAGTGCATAACCATGACGGTGGGGGGTGTTTGTGTTGGGGTGAGGTGGTAGTGCATAACCATGACGGCTGGGGGTGTTTGTGTTGGGGTGAGGTGGTAGTGCATAAATATATTCATAATATAAACTCCTAGTTCATTGTTCAGCATGTGGTGTGCTGTTTATTTCAAATGTTTAGTTAAATTTACACGTTGTTTAGAACAGAATATTGTTTTTGTCAGTAGCTCAGAGCTGCTCGGGTCACGCGTTCGTTTGGTCAAAGGGTCTTTTGGCTAGTCTATTAATTAAGGCAACCCATCCTGTGAGGATGGGCGACATTTCTGGCAGGTTTATTTAAACTGCTACGTGATTGACCTCTGGCCTCTAACCAGTGCCAAGTTGGTTCATCAAATTATCCCAGGGTAGCCTTCCCTTGCCAAATACCAGAAACAAAAATAGAAAAAAAACGCCGGTGGTGCGGGGGGGGGGGGGGTGTAAAAATTACGTGATAAAAACCGATATANAAATTATCCCAGGGTAGCCTTCCCTTGCCAAATACCAGAAACAGAAATAGAATAATAACGCCGGTGTTGCTGGGGGGGGGGGGTGTAAAAATTACGTGATAAAAACCGATATACACTGCTATGTGGGAGGGGGTGGAACCGGGGTGGGTCGAGGGAATAATCACGAGTGGAAGTGACGTCGATAATTTTATTGCCACGTAAAAAAAGTTGCATAATAGGGACAAACGGGTACTGGCCCTTGGCGCTGGGTGGTCGCCCTTGGCCCACTGCACATGACAAATTAGATGCGCTCCTTAGGGGGTTTTGGGACGGAGGGGGTTGGAGTCAACCCTGCTGACACAATTTGATGTTGGAGTCAATCCTGCTGACACAATTTGATGTTGGAGTCAACCCTGCTGACACAATTTGATGTTGGAGTCAACCCTGCTAACACAATTTGATGTTGGAGTCAACCCTGCTAACACAATTTGATTAACCCCCATCAACAAATGAATTCAACATTTTTGTCTTTTATTATTTACTTGATGAAAGGTGGTTGGGGGGGGGGGGTAAAACTAGCCATAACAAACAATCACACGCACACGACAACCGTAGTCAGTATAATAATAGATTCGTTAAACTTGTTCTGCTTATATTTCTCTAAATTTTTAAATTGACGTCATCACTCACTGCACAAAAGCCTTCAACCCAAAATTATATAAGTGTATATGTTAATAAGTCCATGCTTACGAGCTAATGGCCGAGACATGTTCGTTTATTGTATGAGCCGTTGTACTTTGCCTGAACATAAAAGGATTCTACGAATATCTACTGTAAGATAAGGTAGTAAGATGATTGTTGTGACGATCAATCATCCAATAGTTTCAATGAAACCCGAAGATAACGAAGAGGGAAGCTGTGGCCCCACTTGAACTTCAAGAGATGCGACTACCTTAACCTGAAACCAATGTACGTCGGGCGAAGACGTGTGGCACATGAGCCGGGTCAAAGTTAGCTGAGGTGTCAAGTACGGTGTTGGTATCTTAAATGGAGGGCCTTGTCGCCTTTGAATGAGTTCAGCAATTGAAAGAACATCTTGTGTAGACGCCGTGAGAAGGAAAACTATTGCTACTTAAAAATGAATAAATGCTGAAATCGAGATGGCACAGTGGCGTAGTTGGGGTTTGTGCTGCTAGGAGCGGACGACAAATGCTCCGCCCCCTTCTACGAAAAAAGCTCGGCAGTTGGACGAAAATGCCACACCACCTTATAAAGAAAAAAAGCCGCCCGGACCTACCGACCCGTCCAGCCCATTCGTACGCCACTCGCCTTGCATCTTTGCCTTAGATGTATAACCCATGGGGCACCCTGAAGTTCATTTTTGTGTGTACACAAACGGTCAATAATAATGTACCCCGCAACTTCGTTGAGCACACTTGAGCTATTACGTTTATTTTATTTTGAAATTGGTGACTGAAGCATTTAGCCCTACTCATGAATGCCTGGCCCTGTTTGAGATCAGTTGAAGCTTGAGTTGTCTCTGAGTCCCAACTGTTCCTCATTCTACTAAGCCCCCGGGCCGTACTATGGTTAAGTTGAGATGCCGCCAGAATCAACAAGGGCAAAGCGGTTTGGGGTGGGGGGAGGGGGGGGCGTTCTATTGTGTTGTTTTGACATTCTGCAAGGCGCAACGTTTTTGAATCCCAGGGTACCTGGCCGATTTGATAATACGATTGGGATAGCAATCTCCATGATACTATTGGGATAGTACTCTCCATGATGCTATTGGGATAGTACTCTCCATGATGCTATTGGGATAGTACTGTCCATGATGCTATTGGGATAGTACTGTCCATGATGCTATTGGGATAGTACTGTCCATGATGCTACTGGGATAGTACTCTCCATGACCATCCCTGACATACCGTATTCTCCATTAAGGCTACCGCAACCAGTTAATGTCCAATGTCCACATGTCCAGATGTAATGCAAGGACTGACACTGACACTGTCAGAACTAGCCACCGACGCCAGTAGATTGACTGAAATGGCTTTCTCTACTTATGTTCGTTCAACATTGTTGCAACCAACAGTAGCATTGCGCAAAAAACAAAAAAAAAAAAAAAAAAAAAAAAAAAAAAAAAAAAAAAAAAAAAAAAAAAAAAAAAAAAAAAAAAAAAAAAAAAAAAAAAAAAAAAAAAACCAACAGCAGCAATGAAGGCATGTGGCCAAATACAAAAAGACATTTCCAGCAACAACACCACAAAACAAACCCAAAACGTAAGGCCCACCTCCCCCCCCCCTCCCACCCAAGACCAATTTTTAAAAAACAACTCACACTGAGCGTATTTTAGATGACAAACATTCTGCGTTAAGATTGCAATCGGGGAATTTGATATAACTCTATTGTCCCCATGATTTTAGACAACATTTTTAGCCAACTAAGTTTATTTGATATTCTAACAAACTTCAAACAGAAATTATGTTTTAATATGACTTGGCAACCAGACGTCAAAAACCAACCAGCGACGCCATTTGCGCCAATCGGGAAATGTTAAAGTGTACACAGGAGGTGACGTCTCATAGAACGCAACAAGTCTATGCCATTTAGCTGATGTAAGCCTTGCAGTATTAAAAAAAAACTTTAAAACATAGGTTTTCGTATCAGTCCTTTCTAAGATGGTATATCTAGCAATGTCGGTGGGCTGACATTTTGACAGAACATGCCTGCAAGTTAGGCACTTTATAAGAATCCCAATTAGCGCTCCCCCCCCCCCCACCCCAGGCTCGAACCCGCAAATTTTTTCACCCCCCCAACTATATTGATATTTTAATGACCAAAAAAAAAAAACAAAAAAAAAAAAAAAAAAAAAAAAAAAAAAAAAAAAAAAAAAAAAAAAAAAAAAAAAAAATGGCTAGCCACTAACTTTTTAAATAAAAATGTCTAGCGACTAACTTTTAAAACAGAAATGGCTTTCGGTGTGAGTCGTATGTCAGGCAAGACAGGTGCCGCAAGTTACTCTAACTAAACAAGTGAACTCTTCAGATATTGACCTCATTGCTTGGGCAACACTTTTAGAACATTGGAATTTCCTTACATCCTCAAATGAGGCGAGCAAAAACTACACGCTGGCTAAAGCTTCCACCGGCACGCACAAATCATACAGTAATATATTGAACACGACTTACTGTCAGCTCAAAGGGTGCAGAGCATGGCCGTGCGGCATAAGCCATGCCGACGACGGCAGCGAGAAGCAGCAGCAGCATCTTCATGTTGACTTGCGCGGATGACGTTTGGAATGGACTCGGTGGTTGGGATTCCTCAGGCGGAGTGACGGTCAGTGGTGGACGGTGCCTGGTTTTGTTAGCTTTTCCTACAGTGGTAAAGTGCATGGAGATGTGGACCAAGTTATGTGTTGGGGCGCACACCCGTACATCTTGGGTGTGTGGGGATGTGGGGATGTGAGCTGACGTGTGTTTGTGTGTGTGTAACTATAAGTAAAGATTATAATTTTTATTTTGTGAAAAAGGAGATCACAAGACAGATGACTAAAGATAATGGGTTCAGTCCTGGGAGTGCAAGAAACAGAGATATCAAAGTGCTATCATATGATAGCGCAAGATGAGCGTGATACACAAGAAACAGAGATATCAAAGTGGTATCACATGATATGGCAGGATGAGAGTGATACATAAAGTAATGTAACTTTGTTTTAATCTGTATCAATGAATCTCAAGATGGATATCAACGGACTTTCTTAACTGGTTGATATAATGACTCCAACAGCAGCAATGAAGGCATGTGGCCAAATACAAAAAGACATTTCCAGCAACAACACAACAAAACAAACCCAAAACGTAAGTCCCACCTCCCCCCCCCCTCCCACCCAAGACCAATTTTTAAAAAACAACTCACACTGAGCGTATTTTAGATGACAAACATTCTGCGTTAAGATTGCAATCGGGGAATTTGATATAACTCTATTGTCCCCATGATTTTAGACAACATTTTTAGCCAACTAAGTTTATTTGATATTCTAACAAACTTCAAACAGAAATTATGTTTTAATATGACTTGGCAACCAGACGTCAAAAACCAACCAGCGACGCCATTTGCGCCAATCGGGAAATGTTAAAGTGTACACAGGAGGTGACGTCTCATAGAACGCAACAAGTCTATGCCATTTAGCTGATGTAAGCCTTGCAGTATTAAAAAAAAACTTTAAAACATAGGTTTTCGTATCAGTCCTTTCTAAGATGGTATATCTAGCAATGTCGGTGGGCTGACATTTTGACAGAACATGCCTGCAAGTTAGGCACTTTATAAGAATCCCAATTAGCGCTCCCCCCCCCCCCAACCCAGGCTCGAAACCGCAAATTTTTTCACGCCCTCAACTATATTGATATTCTAATGACCAGAGGCATANGTATCAGTCCTTTCTAAGATGGTATATCTATCAATTTCGGTGGGCTGACATTTTGACAGAACATGCCTGCAAGTTAGGCACTTTATAATAATCCCAATTAGCGCTCCCCCCCCCCCAACCCAGGCTCGAAACCGCAAATTTTTTCACGCCCTCAACTATATTGATATTCTAATGACCAGAGGCATAGCGAAGGAGGTGCAGGGGGGGGGGGCACATGTCCACGGGCGCCAGCTAGTGAGGGGCGCCAAAATGTGCTTTGATATTATTTTATTGATGAAAAATAATGGGTTTGAGAGCTGAAAAAAAGAAAAGGGGGCGCTTTAAAATGAATCTTGTCCCCGGGCGCCAAACACTCTAGCTACGCCTCTGCCAATGACCTACCTGCTTTCACAACGCAGATTTATTTCAACCAACTATTTTAGAAAAGAAAAGGAAAATATTACGCACCAAACGCACTGGCGATATTAAAAAAAACAAGAATCTCATTTAGCGGCAGTTATCGAGAGTTGTATTGCGTTAAATCAGTGGCATCATATTTCCTTCATCTTTCCTTTAGAATACATGGGGCGGGGGCAGAGAATGATTTTGGGGGTTTGGTGTTGAGGGGTGGGGCTAAAAATTTGACAAAATGCGTTGCCTTCGGCTCGATAAATTGATGGGAAGTGGGTCAATTAGCCGTCCGAAGATTGTATCACCCATAGACAAAAACGAACTTCTTAATATAAAGGATTTATGAAGATGAATCTTTCACTTAAATGAACATTTTCGCGTATCTGAGCGGATGTGTTTATAATACGGTCAGCAATTATCCGGTTGAGCATGCTCGATCAGGGAACACAATATTGATAGTCGGACTATCATCTGATATCACCTATCACAAGATGGCCTATAAGTCGCTTGCAACTTTCTTCCAAAAGGTACATGGACGTCGCCTGATTCTGATAGGATGATTAGGGGCCGCACCGGGCGGAGATGTCACAGACACTGGGACATCAGATAGGGCTTTTGTCAGCGGCGTATCTTGATAATTAATTGACTGTGGGGGTCACGGCGATATGAAGATGGGGCGCTATATTTATACATGTAAATATATATATAATATACATATACATATATATATAGTCTATATAATATACGTATATATATGTGTATATATATATATATATGTATATATATATATATATATGTATGTATGTATATATATGTGTGTGTATATATATATATATATATATATATATATATATATTTATTTTTTATACATTGTATAGATATAGAGGAGATTTGTATATGTTTTTTTTNAATTGACTGTGGGGGTCACGGCGATATGAAGATGGGGCGCTATATTTATACATGTAAATATATATATAATATACATATACATATATATAGTCTATATAATATATGTATATATATGTGTATATATATATATATATGTATATATATATATATATATGTATGTATGTATATATATGTGTGTGTATATATATATATATATATATATATATATATATATTGATCTTTTAAACATCGTATAGAAATAGAGGAGATTCGAATATGTTTGTTTTATGCATCATATTGTGTCAGAAGACATTTAAATTCGACTTTTATATACGCCAAAAGTTAATGTAGTGGCGTAGGAAGGGGGTTCTGAGGTGGCGGACCGCCCCAGTCAGCAGTTTTTACCTGGTATTGGGCGGGGGGGGGGTATTTTCTGCACATTGCCGAGTTTTGTTTTTTTTAACGCGGGAGGGGGCGGCAAAAAGCTTTGCATGTGTGTTTGTATGTGAGTAGTGCGCTTTGAAAACACTGATGAGTTATAATTTGAATTTTTATTTTTTAAGATGTCTTTAAAGTACTATCAAGCAGGGGCGTAACTGTTACCCTTGTTCTATGTTGGGGCATGCAAACCCGAAAGGGGGTCAAGTCGATTCCCATTACTGGTATTTTCACCTGTGATGGGGGACATTAGCGTGTTACCCTTCCGCCAGGTGTATCACTGGAACAGCCAATGTGTTGTGCGTGACAGCTGTTTGGTCAAGATTTCACCGTCCTACTCACAGCAGTCTCCCAGCCGTCATCAACATGCCAGCTGTCTTGGAAGGACTTCTCACAGCAGTCTTTCAGCCGTCCTCAACATCCCAGCTGTCTTAAAAGGACTACTCACAGCAGTCTCCCAGCCGTCATCAACATGCCAGGTGTCTTGGAAGGACTACTCACAGCAGTCTTTCAGCTGTCCTCAACATCCCAGCTGTCTTGGAAGGACTATTCTCAGCAGTCTTTCAGCCGTCCTCAACATCCCAGCTGTCTTGAAAGGACTACTCACAGCAGTCTCCCAGCCGTCATCAACATGCCAGGTGTCTTGGAAGGACTACTCACAGCAGTCTTTCAGCCGTCCTCAACATCCCAGCTGTCTTGGAAGGACTATTCTCAGCAGTCTTTCAGCCGTCCTCAACATCCCAGATGTCTTGGAAGGACTACTCACAGCAGACGGCAAGTCCTCTTCAACATGCCAGGTGTCTTGGAAGGACTACTCACAGCAGTCGCCAAGCCGTCCTCAACATGCCAGGTGTCATGGAAGGACTACTCACAGCAGATAACACCTGAGGACAGGCCGAGGTTTCTGAGAACCCCTGTGTTACACCCCAGATGTCATTGAAATGAACTGACCCTTTTCAACTCACTCAGATAACACCCGTGGACAGGCCGAGGTTTCTGATAAGATCCAAAGACATGATATTACATTGGTAGATATTCCGATATCTGATTGTTTCAGATGGGCGTTTCTGGCCGTTTACAAGACATCGCAGTATGTTTGTTACCGATGTACTTCGAAGATGAGAAATGAGTTGAGACCACTTGACCTTAAGTATAACAAGGCTAATTTATTTATGTTCACTTTAAAAGGTTTTCGTATTCAAGCTTTCCAATAGAATTTCAATAAAATTTGGTCTTTAAAAAAGGAAGCGATTATATTACTGATCATTTGGAATACAATAAGCCAATCTTAATAAAATTGCATTTTGTGTGTCTTCAATTAACCATTATTGTTTGTTTCATGTTGTTTATTGATTTTTAAATACCGGTAATTAATTATTGGAATTTGTATCCATCGGCGATTTCTAAGTCCGAAAACAAAACTCCAAGACGTGTGTTTTATTGTTGGTGAGCCATCGTTTTGCTTCAATTTTGTGAAGTTATTCTCCAACTGCATGACTTTGAAGGTCAAACGCACAACTCTCTGGTTAGCATCGTAGGTAAACTGGTGAAAACACTTTGTATGTGGATAGGATGAAAGGACACACTCCAAAAAGCTTGATCTCAATCTTCATTCGGAACCAGTTGCCAACCTTGCAGGTAGCCTTCGGTCAGATGGCAGGGAGCCTTCGGTCAGATGGCAGGGAGCCTTCGGTCAGATGGCAGGGAGCCTTCGGTCAGATGGCAGGAAGCCTTAGGTCAGATGGCAAGAAGCCTTCGGTCAAATGGCAGGGAGCTTTCGGTCAGATGGCAGGGAGCCTTCGGTCACATGGCATGGAGCATTCGGTCAGATGGCAGGGAGCCTTCGGTCAGATGGCAGGAAGCCTTAGGTCAAATGGCAGGGAGCTTTCGGTCAGATGGCAGGGAGCCTTCGGTCAGATGGCATGGAGCATTCGGTCAGATGCATGGCAGGGAGCCCTCGTTCAGATGGCAGGGAGGCTTCGGTCAGATGGCAGGGAGACTTCGGTCAGATGGAAGGAAGCCTTCAGTCAAATGGCAGGGTGCGTACAATAGGCAGGGGGAGGGCCTTCGGTCAGATGGCAGGAGCCTTCGGTCTGTTGACAGGGAATCTTCGGCCAAATGGCAGGGAGACTTTGGTCAGATGGCAGCGAGTCTTCAGTCAAATGGCAGGGAGCCTTTAGTCAGATTGCAGGCAGCAAAATTCAGATGATACGGTAGTCACGTAGCATGGCATTCGCAGTTGGTGTTCACCTGAGTCGATGTTGTGTCTGTAGTCAGACAAATGTTTAAACTAATTGAGACCCTGAAAGTTAAACAAGAGAGTTAGAATACCGTGGAACCCAGCAAT